AGAGACATACGGAATCAAATTAGTGTCAAAAAGGCAATGCCTCCCAATTTTCTAATTCAAAATGATTTGGAGTTGATAATTTTAATAAAGTCAACCACCTTATTTGCAATTGACATCATTCTCAAATTTTTGTTGTGTTGTTCTGAACACCCTATTTGAAACAGAGAACTCTTGAACTTCCTCATTCTGAGTATTAAAAAGTACTGCCCTGGCCCAGCAGCAGAGCACTACCTAGCATCACCTAGGTATATTAATTAATGTATTTATACATATACATATATATATATATGTATGTGTATGTATATAATAATTTATACATACATATGTATAATACATAATACACATGCATATACACACATATCATCTGACTTTTGTTTCTATAAATTGTAACTACTTCTATGGAGAAACAATGTACCTGCTTCTCCCCAGTATAATCAAACTGTGTAAAATTCTTTTTCCTTTTTAGATCATTTACTTGTTTCTGAGGCAGGCAGGTGGCTGACTCTGGCCAGGCAGGATCCACAGAGACCCTGGCTTAGCTGCTGATAACATGTTAACCTATAAATTTCCACAGGTGGGACCATCTGGGGACAAGAAGTGAAATAAATACTTTTAAAAAATCTTTTACCCCCATATGTCTTGAGATTATACACACCCATGTAYACATGCACACACACATGTGTATGTGTTTAGGTTCACATACACACCAAAACCCCAGAGTATTAACCTTAGATTCTCTGCCCCTATTCATAGAAAAAAAAAAAAAAAAGGCTGGTCATGACTAATGCTATAGAACCTGTTTTACTCCTAAACAGAAGTAACCAAACCAAGGCAAACGTGGGGCTGGAAACAAGTTTGGTTGGCTCCAGACAAAGGCTTATTTTTTAAGCACAGATGGCTGAATCCTTGCCTCCTCCAATAGGTTGCCCATTGCCTGCCAATCAAAGGCAGATTTTTATTTCTAATCTATGCAAATATCTTACTTGGGAGGGACATCACAAAGACTAACTGTTTTGTGTCAGACACAGCCCATCCCAGGTGCTCTGGGAGATGCCAGACCCCATCTCCACCTGGGATGACAGGGGACCCAGGGCTAGAGAGTTAGTCATTAACTAGCTCCTAATGAATATTGTTGGGGCCTCCTGTGAAACACGCCACTGGAATCCAGCCCCACCTCCCTGCTTCCCCTGGGCTACTCTGCCTGGAAGGTAGTTTCAGCAATTCAGTTTAGACCTTAGATGCTTCTAAAACTCTGATTTTCAAAGGCTCCTACTGACTGTTAATGGATTCTTCACCTTGAGTGTAGCTCATTTATTCATGTCTAACACTAAACCCAGAGAACTTCAGCATTTAAATATGTTATTGTGTTCAAACCAGCTCTCCTTTACACTCTGGTCCACGTTCCTACAACTCATGACAAGACTCACGGAATCACACCTGGGTTTGTTGGTGGCCCTAAGAAACCCAAGCGCACACAATTCTCTCTTTTTTTTTTTCTTTTTTCCTCCTGTTATCAACTTTCCTTTCTTTACTTACAACACTCTTTTCTCTTATTTCTCTACCTCCTGGGCTTAAGTCTTTCACTTGCTATGACACCCCTTGGCACATTCCATTTTAGGGCCCCTTGAGACAAAAAAATATAATTTTTTTTTTGTATGCTAAAAACAAACACGGACACTCCTTGGTGCTAACCCAACTCCTAACTTTAAACATCATTTGCCCAAAAAAGCAGATCATGCCTGAAATCTCCTCAGTTTACTTCCAAAGTTTAAGTCTGAAAATGTCTTTCAAAACTTTTTTCTTCATTGATTTTTCTGCTTACATGACAGTAAGAGTTTATCTCAAAATCCTGTGTTGGGGCTGGGGATGTGGCTCAAGCGGTAGCGCGCTCGCCTGGCATGCGTGCGGCCCGGGTTCGATGCTCAGCACCACATACCAACAAAGATGTTGTGTCTGCCGAGAACTAAAAAATAAATATTWAAAAAAAAAAAAATCCTGTGTTGGAAAACACTTCTTTCTCCCCTTGTTAACCTTTATCTAAAATGGACCAGACTAGCTGAGTAGAAAGAAATTCTAAAGCAAAAGGAAAGAAGTTCTTTCTAACCAATAGCCACCTCCCAAACTTCTTATTCTACAACTCAAACCTTGAAATCCAAACACTTTTTGTTTCAGTTTATAAATGCCAATATTACTGACAGTCTGTTCAAATGATTCAGCTTTAAGTTTACTTTCTGAGAAAATCTAAGACTACAGAGAGTTTGAGAGGTTAACTCATCCACCTAGTTCCAGGTTTGAACACATGAGGTGTCCTATTTCTTTTTATCCCCTCCTGATTTACAGCCCTAGGCATTCCAATTCAAACTTCTGCTAAAGCTCCAGAATCCATATTTATCACAAATGATCCACATAATTATGAAATAGCAGGCCCTGGTCCGAGAACTGCTGATCCATTCCAAATCCTACCCAATATAGTGGACTCCTCAATAAGACACACACAGGCCATCTAGGCTGCAGTATTCCCAGAGATCTCATCCTTTTGTAAGTCTTGTTTCACTTTTATATGGCTTCAGTATTAGAAACTGTGTTCTTACGTAGGACCAAATAGCCCAAGTCTTTCAATTCCTTGAACTTCACCTTGTCGGCTCTAATTTTGTGCTCCTGAGTTAACAGAATACCCCCTAGAGAGAGACAAGTCTTTAAATACCTAAAGGCAGCTACTGTGCCCTTGTAAGTCTTCATTTTTCTAAGTTAAGTCAACTCTTTTTCTTTAACTTCACAAAGCACAATTTCTGAGTCCTGCACCATTTCAATTACTCTTCCTCCACAACAGACATTACAGAATAAGTCTCTCCATAGTAACAAAACTTCATTTTTCTTACAATATTTTTTTTTCAATGTGCACTAATTTGTAGTATTTTGCCCTTGTCACTTGGCTTGAATTTAGTGATCCAAGAGCTGAGTTTCAGCAAGTACTTATCATCCTAATGCTGTGTGCCTAGCACTATGTTAAGTACCAAGCAGGATTCTAAACAGCAGAAACTGCTTCATTGGAGGTGGTGGTCATTTCTTATACAAGAAGGACTTGATGAAATAACGTGAAAACAAGTGCATGATAGTATATGTCAAAGTGCTTCAAATGACTATCATGATAATGGATAAATTCCTGCGTACTTGATTTTCTGAGTCAGACTGTGAGTTGACCCATGGCCTCTATTTTCAGACACAACACCTATTTAACAACAGCATGCTTTTGGTTTTTTCCTTTTGGCTTTTTGGTACCAGGGATTGAACTCAAGCACACTTAACCACTAAGCCCTTTGTTATATTTTATCTAGAGACAGCATATCACTGAATTGCTTAGGGCCTCTCTAAGTTTTTGATTTTAAAAAAAGAGACTATCGGGGGCGAGGATTGTGGCTCAACGGTAGAGCACTCTCCTTGCACAACGAGACCCTGGGTTCAATCCTCAGCACCATACAAAAATGAATAAATAAAATAAAGGTATCGTGTCCATCTACAATTAAAAAAATATTTTTTTAAAAAAAGAGACTATCGGGGGCGAGGATTGTGGCTCAACGGTAGAGCACTCTCCTTGCACAACGAGACCCTGGGTTCAATCCTCAGCACCATACAAAAATGAATAAATAAAATAAAGGTATCGTGTCCATCTACAATTAAAAAAATATTTTTTTAAAAAAAGAGACTATCAAAAACATTTATAAAAATTTCAAGTGTACCTTATTTCAAAAATTTAAAATCTACCAAACTATGTAAGTGAAAAGTAGTAGAATACTGTGTCTTCCTATAAGTATGTCACTTATTGGTTTAGCTTCCCAAGCACTCTGAATGCCAAGGTGAAATGCAGCGCATTGGAGATGCACCCAGTGGTGGAGCACTTGCCTAGCACGTGTGAGGCCCTGGTTCAATTTCCAGCACTACAGAGAAAGGTGGGGTGGGGGGAGTAGAGGGTTTATTGGATTCCCTTTCCTACTGGAAATATTCATTTACTAAGGAGTCTCCCGAGGCATTTTCATGGAAAATTCTTACTAGTAAATAAATCTTACTATATCAACAAAAATGTATTTGTTTTATTGACAGAATTATAAATTACCAGAACTTTATGAACTCTTACAAATATCTCAATTTACAAATAAGAGGAGAAAATATCAAGTGATTCAAGATGGCAAATGGTTTCTCCAAGGTACAGCAGAATAGGGCCAATATCCAGAGCTTCTCTCTACTGTTTACTTCCTGCCCCCTCTTATTTAACCCATTGAGTTCCAAGTTTTCCATTTTGCAGATATTCCATGAAATTGACATAGGTGCATTAAAATAGGTTGAAAATCATGATCTAGAGCTTATGTATTTTATATACATTTTCATATATATGTGTGTGTAGGTGTATATGCATATAGATAAATTAGAGGATGTGAAGTGAATATCTATTAGTTTTCTCAAAGGAACAGAACTATATAAACATAATACTTATTTTCAAAGTTATCATAAGTGGCATATTTGTTGCTCAATTTAAGTTTTAATACATATCCCATGTCTAGAATGATGGGATCTAATGGGTTAACCCAGAACAATCAAAACTCTTGCCCTCTCAACATTTCCTCCTTAATTTTACATCCATCTTTAGTTACCTTCCTAATCTTCAAATCCAAAGCCTGATAAATTATAAATTCCACCGTTCCCCCCCAAATTCTTCTATGCTGCTTGACACAATGTTCTGCCTGGCTCAAAATCACTGCTACCTTACCACTRTTACAGGGAACCACTGGGGTTAGCCAGATGGATTCAACCATGCAGAGAGTACTTGCTTAGCAGATGTGAGGCCCTGGTTCAATCTACAGCTGCAAAGCAACAGGTCAACACTGTCCAACTACCCCACCCTCTCTGCCACTATATACACCACTACATCAACCAGCTCATCTGCTTCATCAAGAGTATCACAGTTATTTCATACCCTTGTATGGGGAGAGGGGGCGTGCACCTACCTTGTGGCCTCTTGCTGAAGCCATGACACATTTGGCACATAGAACATGACTCCGAAGAAAAGCAGAGGCTCATTAGCGAATTTGTCCAGATGTTTCTTCAGCGGTTTCTCCAGCTCCACCCATCGTGCTTGCTGGCTCTTGCTGAGAAACCAAAGGCCAAAGTAGTGCGTCTAGATAAAAGGGTATAAAACTGCATCAGTTCATGTTTTCCACATGCATCCTGAGATCACACAAAACACAAGATTGCAGTTTCTGCATCATTTTCAGTTCCTCAGCTTATACACAAGGATCCAGCTTATATTTTCTAGGTTTGGTACAAATTAAAGGCAATCATATCCACAGAATACTGTAACTGACACTGATCATCCAGATACAGCATCCTACCCAGTGTGGCCTTTAGTAAATGTTGGTCCCTATCCAACTGTATTAGGAAAGAGGGTGGTGCAGGGTGTGGACAGTGCTGACCCCCCCTTTTTTTTTCTAGGAGCTAAAGGCTGGTTTTCCTGTGTCTTCCCAATGCCTCGTGATTACATATGGAGCTCACTGGCAAAGGCTAACATAGTTATTGCACCTGCTACAGAATAACTTATTACTCAACCCCTAAGATAAAACCTGCCAACTGAAAGCTTCTGCACTTTAGAATGTGTTCCTGCAATGCCAGATTTTAACCAAAACTGTAGTCATTCTTTTTGAACTTTAATGAAGTACTTTAAAAGCATCACCCTGTCACTTTATTATTCATGAACTGCAGCATCTCTCTCCAGGTACCAAGTGCAGAAAGGGGAAGGCTCTCCTCTCCACAGCTGCCCCAAGAGCCCCTGATGGCTGTTCTTGGCAGACTGGTGGGATTTGACAGATGAAAGTGAGATTTTTCACCCTTAGACCCTTAGCCTCAACTGGTTTAGTTTTGAACAACATGCTCAATGATTATAACAGGTACTTTTATGCACCCAATCCTGTCTTTATATTAATTCATGCTAGGATTTCAGGATTAGCACAATAATCACCAAAAAACAGARCACTGCTTTTGAAGATTCTTTTATATTTCAATTATAGCCTACGACCGTTTACAGCAGCACACCTGGAAATCTGCCTTCAAAAGAATGTTTTCATTACAAGGTTTAATTTCCAAAGGCATTCTTACACTGATGCTCCTGCTCCAGCTGGCTGTCCCCTCAATTTACCCAAGATCAATCTCTGCCATGACCCTACCAAAATCTCTAATGAAACTCTGACTCTGATTTTCCTAGGAAACCAGATGTCCCCAGCCTACACAAAGCTGCAAACCCAGGTGCTTTTAAAGGACATTTTAAAATGGATTTACTTTCAGATGGGCACAATGATTTCATCAGCCTTCTTCCATGGTGTTCCAAAGAGCAAGTTCAGAATCAGAAATCTATCCATTTCTCAAGTGACAAAAAGGCCAACAATCAGAGTCCCAGTCATATTTTTATCAACTTAGGCACACTTGAGTGAATTCTGACCCTACTCTTCATTTCCTAGCTTCAGTGAGTCCATCAGGTGTTCCAACACAAGCTCAGGCTCACTTAGAGGAAATGAAATGCCGCTAAAGAGCAAGAAACAGGCTTTGAAGCCAATTCATTTCCCAGCTTTTGCACCGTTCATATAGTAACTTTGTGCAAGTCACTGGGCGACTCCCCCCACCCTAGCCCCCACAAGACTCTGAGCTTTCTCACCTGTAAATGGGAATAACTAGGATTGTTGTAAGGAGTGGACTTCAGATAACGCTTGCCACCCATGTGCATGGTAAGTACGTCATAAACACTGCCTTCTGGGGCTGCTGGCTCTGCTACTCCTGCTGTTACCACCACCATCACCAGTAAACGGTGTGTCCTCAAAAAGATTTTGGGACCCCAGACTCCTTTTCATCTTCTTCTCTTTTGCTTTCTATCCATGAGGGACATGGTTTTGCTCTTCCAGGCACCTCCACCCTGAAATGTTGCCTTCAAAGGCCTCAAGCAACAGGGCCAATCAACCATGAACTGGTACCGTGACACCATAAGCCAGAATAAACCCTATCTCTTTATAAGTCAATTATCTCAGGTATTTTTGTTACAATAACAGAAAGGCTAACACAGAATTAGAAAACAGAGATCATTCTGGAAGTAATGAGAAAAGTAGACAAAAGTAGAAGCTGGACCTAAGGAGTATAAGGGAAAAAATAACAACAAAGCAGTGTGACTCCCCTAAATTAGTCTTTAAAAATCTCAGTATAGGCATTTAGGGACACTGGAACATCAGTCTGATGATATTCTTGGGGATCTATGATAAAGACTTAGGCTAGCCTCCAATAAGATAACTTGGGTCGTTAATTCAGCAAACTTGTTTGATAAAGGTCAAAGGCATTTCTGCATTATTCTGAATCCCTCTGTGGAGGATAGTGCCATATAAGGGTCTCCCACTATATTTTGGATGACTAGGAGTGTTTACATATAATAAATGAGGTAATGTACATAAACTGTAACATGCTATGCAATAATTAGAGTTGGAAAAGAGCCCTTTTATAAGCATGGGTGGAGGAAGGGAGGGCAAGCTTCACAATTGCTTAATAGAGTAACCATGATTTATGATCTTTCACTAAAAGTAGTTTTGACATTTGGCGGGTATTTATATGGTCCTTATCTCATTCTAATTGTAATATTCCCTCAAATTGGTAAYATTCAAATCATAAAGGGTCACAGGAACCACATAAACATTTGACAACTGATTTTACAAAACAAAACAAAACAAAATATTATTGCTCCTATAATTTAAAGGTTAATGTTTCAAATTTCCTCTTTTTCATTCCCACCCATTCGAATCATGAAACCAGATCTGAATGCTTGCAAAACACATCCAAAGAATATTCCATGGAGTGCACACATCTGCACATGAAGAAGTACATGCTCCTACACACCAACACGCACACACCCACATGTAGAAATGAAGAAGTAGAAGAGAACTCAGAGTAAGGTAATAATCTTGAGCCACAGTTAATAATATAGAGTTCCAAATAAGAATGCAAACCACTTCTAGTGGAAAAACCTAATTTATGGCATTTTTCGCTGCTGCTGCTTAAATACAGCATTTTCCAGAGGACAAAGAGTATTTCAGAGTGACTCACTGTGCAATTACCCAATGAAATGGTTACATAACTATTCCAGAAATGGGGTTCTCAGTGCAGGGTAGAATTAGGGGAGGCAAGTTATCTGCAGCCCACAGTTTACAACTACTCACACCCAGGATATCCTGATTTTAGTGCTGAATTCAGTTATCCAGCAGGAAGGAAAATCCATTTATGAGGTTCCCATCCCTACACTATTTTTTTGATGCTGTGCCCAAAATAACCTTCCCCATTCCCACCACACTTCTGTCCTTCTGCCTCTGGTTACACCCCTACTCTAGAGCAGAAAGATCCTGATTCGAAGCTCTTACAATCCTTTGTTGAAGTTCAACATAGCCATGTCYACACAGTGCCTCACAGGAAATGGAATCAGAACCTGAGCCCTCAGTTCAACTCGCATGTGCACCAACCAACTTCCTGTGTACTGCCCAAGGGACTATTAATCCCATTGAGCCCAGCTGAGACCACACCAGGCCTGTTCATAACAGACTGGCCAATTTAAACTCTAGCTGCATTTTGTGAGCTGGGCTCCACTGCTGAACACTGCCACGTGGGTGAGGAAAATGTAGGAGATGATTCCAAACAGAAACCACCTTCTCCCTAATCAGAAGGATCTCCTTGCATTACCTGAGTAAATGCCTGAAACATCTGTTTCATGTCTCAGGGACCAAAGGCAAGCCAGACCCAGAGGATCCTCATGATACCCTCTGGGCTGGGTAAAAATCCCATTTTCCTCTCTAGTTTTAGAGCCCACAGAGCTGGTGCCCTGAGTTCTGCAATGACTTTACTGCAATGAGAAAASAAGTCCAAAGAACCAATTCCTAGGGAGAGGAACCACATCTCTGAACCAATTACTAAAAACGTACTATGATGAAACAACGTAGGAAAGCCACACTAAAATGTTATTTTTATGTGATAGTTTTGATTTRGTTTGAGGTTTTGTATTTTAACAGAGGAAGCATAAACAGACCAAAAAGTCTGCTGGTTTCTTCAGTGGGAGATTGGTGTGTCTTTGACTTTAGCATTAAAATGTCCATTGGTCCGTACTGTGAAAAGATTCTAGGGAATAAAGGTCATTATAAATAGCTTGAGGCAGTGGGTATATTGGAAATCTCCATTCCTTCTGCTCAATTTTGCTGTGAATCTGAAACCATTCTAAAAAAATAAAGTCTATTGAAAATAGCTTGGAGTCTTTTTGATTTGTTCAATCATTTATGTGTAAAGACATGATATATTTCTGAACATTAACAACTAATACGATTTTTTCTTTTTTTGAGGGTTTTGTTTATCCAGTTTTGTGACTTATGGAATGGCTTTAATATTATTTGTAAGGGTAACAGATTCAGGCTTGGCAATTACAACGGATTAAACTCTTGATCTTAATGAAAGCATTTTGAAGAGCTAATCATCCAGAAGCAAAAGTTTAAAACATCTTGCCTTTAGTTGTAACAGGTTGCCTGTCTTACCCAGTATTTCCATTGTCAATTAAGAAACAGGGTTGGTGTGCGTCCACATAAAAAGTACTGGAATTACGTGCCAGCATTAGCAGTTTCACCGTTTCACCGAGGCATGGAAAATATTTCAAAAAGGTGACCATAAGCAGACTCTGAAACAGCACTTCATGCAATTACATTCCAACAGCTTTGGAAAATAAACCACTTTACCTCAGTTGGATAACTGTAAGAACCAATTGGTGTGCAATCAACCTCCGCTCCGGGTAGGTCTGGGATTTCTACAACTGACACATCTATAATTAACAACTGCGCCATCTTCATTTTCCTAGCCATTATCTCCATGAAAGGACAGGAAAACAAACTGCAGAATCACACAGGTATAGGAGGCACTGCTCCCTTGGCATATAAAAAAAGATGAAGCCTTACAGGGGAAGACGGGGGTAGTTATCTCACCTGTGGTCTCAACTCCTAGAAAATGGAGTCCAGATGCCAACTCACATTATAGGTCTGACAGAGAGCTAGTGAGATTTCATATTATAATCTTTTTTAAATTATTTTTATTTATATATGACAGCAGAATGCATTACAATTC